CAGAAATGTTTGTAAAAAATGTTTTTCTGTTGCTTAATTTGAGCTATTTTCAGATACAGTAATGAAAAAAGGTAAGTCTGCCTAGTTCTGCATTCTCAGTATGTAATATTCACTAACTGCTACAAAGGTCCTGGGAGTTTAACCCTCTCCTCCATCTTTATGAAGATATTTATAAAACCATATGCTAGTTTTGTGCCTCCATTTATTCCTCACCAGAAAATAAGGTTTATAAAGGTTTTGTTAGACATGATTTCCTTCTGTAAAGGAATATTTTAAAATGAATGAGCTCACCTATAAGGTTTGAAATGCTCTAGCCTTACGGTAGACCAGAGACATTAGTTATTTAAAGGACATCTAGGTCGCTAACTCAGTATCCATTAGAAGATACAGTAGTTGTTTAATAAAGCCCATTCATGTCTGTAATAGGTCTGCACACAGTGCAGAAGAAAAACAAAAACACATTACTTTAGTTTTAATTCCACAATTAAAAACAACTTGAGAAACCATCACCAACAGATAAAAGATCCTTTCAAATCAAACAGGGTGATTTATTTTGCTAAATTTCTACGAAAGAAAAATTTGCAACATGTTTCTCATTGTTGCCCACCATTCGCCAAGCACTGCTTTTTGAAACTGTTTCCATTAACACAAAAACACACGTGAGTGGGGCACCTTTCCCTAGAGAGAAAAGAAAGCCACACCACCGGAAGAATGACAGGCAAGCATCTTTTGAGTCATGCCATGCTGGAAACGAGGCTTTGGGATTGCCCTGCTATGCCAATTGTAGCCTTCATGAGGATGCCTGTTTCCCAAATGCTTCCTTCAATCAACACATTTTCAGCCTAACATTTGTCAAACCTCTTCTTTTGTTAACTTGTTGACAAGGGTTAACTTGTCAGCTTTTCAAATGGCTCGCGGTTGTGATCCACCTTCCTTGATGGAAATGTGAAAAGCGTGAACTACTCCCTTTCACAAACAATCTTGTTAAGGGTCCTGACTTCAACCTGACCGCCCCTCCTGGGAAAAAAAAGAAATCTACCTCTGGAAACTTAACAAGCAGTGACTATTCTATCGTAATTCTGCTTCACAGAAAGAAATAAAAGAGGTCAAACAAGGAGACAACCACCATCAAATAAAGAGTTAAAAGGTGACTGTATAACTCAACAACAGTCTGAAAATGCTAAAGCACTTAAAAAGGTGATCCTCAACAACCCGCCCGAGCAAATTATTTTACTTCAACAGGGGGAATAACTTATAATGGGTGATGCAATGACACTAGCCGGTATGTTCCCCTTGCAGAAAGTACCACAGACAAACAGAGAGCAATCTCTACCTTGGAAACTACCAGGGGGACATTATTAATGCCTACAGTGTACTCCAAAAAAGAATCTCTGGGGCCGGCCCAGTGGCGCACTGGAGAGTGTGCTGCTTGGGAGTGCGGTGGCGCTCCCGCCAAGGGTTCGGATCCCATGTGGAGACCAGTTCCAGTGAGCGCGGTGCGGATGCAACACCGAGGGTTGCGATCCCGTTGCCGGTCCCCAGTACGGGCGCGACGACACCAAGGGTTGCGATCCCATTACCGGTCAGTAAAAAAAAGACAAAAAGGAAAAAAAAAGAATCTCTGAAGAACTGTACCTCAGCATCCTACCAGCCACACCTCCTCCTGCTTAACTGAACAAGTTCATTTCTTCATCGAGTTAAATCATTTCCAAGTATTTTCATTCTTCCTAAACACTGACTTCACTGTTTTGTTTCAAACGTCTCCTCTTGGAACCCACTAGAGCCTGTAAATCAGATCATTCATCTTTGCTATTGCTGCCCAAGACTCAGAAGGCCTCAAGGATGTGCTCCGAACATGGAGGTCACCGTCAAAGTCAACCAAAGATGTGAATGAATATAAAACAAAATCCGGTAAGTTCTTTAGTTCTTTACTGTTTTCATTTAGGTATGGATTAATTGGTTGTAAAAAAAGGAAGGAGGTTCACGGGTATTTCAAGTGCCAAAACAAAACTAGGCTTTAAAGATACATACTTATATATAAACATATAAGGATTTATTGTTGAAGAGAATGTATGTGGCTTAAATAAAGAGACAAAGGAGTAACAATTAGGAACTACAGGCTTTAGAGTAGAGGATCTAAAACTAAGGCACTGAATGAGAAATTTGCTTTTTTAAAAAAAATGCAAGTGTCCTGAATACCTTGTCCTCCTTGAAGGCTGCTACATGTAAAACTTAACAAAAAGTAGTAGTACCTGTTAACTATAATAACATATTTTTCAGAGAGTGGGAAGGATACTAAAAATCCTCCAATTATGAAGTGGCTGCTTAAAACAATGAAAGAATTAGGTTGGGCTCTAATTAGGTAGATATACTAATAGAAGAACATTAAATTTTAAACATCAGCGTATATTAATCTGGTGAAACTCAATGGTGGCAGTTTTGTACAGGTTTTTTTTAAAGACTAAAGGTTTAAGTTAGAGTCTTATTTAACTAACATGTTTTTGGCTGGTATATTTGATAAAGGAGTGATGGGAGAATGAAGGACAGAAAAGCTGAAATACAGGAAGTAGTCAGCTTTCTTCTCTTTCCTGAGGAGCGGAGAACTTGCAGTATGTCCCTGCCTTGGAGGAGCTCAGGACAGGTGTGCTCTCCCAGCAGAGGTTCATGAGTCACCTCTAAAAACAGCAAATGGGGTACTGGCAGTCCCCCTGTAAAGGGGAAAATGCTTTCTTATGCTTATTTAAGATTTCTAATGTTGCTGTAACTGTACAAAAGGTAATACAATGCTTCATGAGGAAATCAAACAGAAGGAGTAGGCAAAATGCTTAGATTACACCAACCCTCAAAAAGAGGATGCTGATTACCCATTTTCTCCCCAAAAAACAATTACGATTTGTAGTGATCAATATGCTAACAATACTAATTTGATCATCACATATTGTATACAAATACTGATAGTCAATTCTGTACCCCACAAATATGTATAATCAATTATGTTTCACTTAAAAAAAAGGTTGCTGATAATAGAGATAAGAATATATACATCAAATAGGTTACTGATTAAAATGTTGTGTCATGTATTCCTTTTCAATGTATTACCATGTATTATCAATTAATAAAAACAACAAACCTCTCATTTATTCAGAATCCTAACCATGTTCAAATAAGTAGAAATAGTTTTAATAGTGTATAATGGTGATTAATGGACTAATCATGACTCTGAGGTAATATAAAATCCAAAAACTCACAATTTGATCTTTTAAAATGAAATTAAAATTAGAAGCACTTTCATATGTAATGTATTCTAATCCTCCGTAAATTATAAATTAATCTATGGTAAATTAAAGAATTGTTAAGCAGAATTTTAAACAGAGTGTTTCCTACAATTCTGGATTAATAGGAGCCCGTTTGTGTACTTTTCTACATACTATCATATACAGAATTATTTTTAAAAGATATCCTACAAACCAAGCTCTACATAGCTTCATGTTTACTAACAAAAAATTAGAGCCCTATCTAAAAGAGGTCACGATAGCAATGATCAACAATTTGTAGAGAACAAAATGAACAATAATCTGCTAATCTGTAATTATACTTTCACACATTTTCATAATTAACTAAACTAATTTCCAACACTGAGCTATATTTGTATTTTTTTTTTTAAAAACTATTGAACCTGCAATAATTGCACATATCTATGTGGCTCATGAAACAATAACATCCATCCTATACTTATTTCATTTTACTCTTAAGGTAAGTCTTAAGACATATTGTAAATATCGTGATACTGTCTAAAAACAATACAAACCATGCTTCAAGCTGCTTTTACATATGAGGATGTGCTATCATTTTAGCAATTTCAGTATATTTAGTTTGAATGCCATTGTTCTTCTCAGTTCAGCTTCTCTGTGATTCTGTCAGATGGAAAAATGACAACAGCAAGCCCTAAATGTCTGACCGGGAGCCTGGCTCTCAGGTGGGAGGGCTACAGAACCACGGCTGGCCACTCACAGACACTCTGTTCTGTCACAGGATCCTGACCCATTTTCCCAGCACAGATTCAGTGAGGGCTGTGTTGAGTGTGGGGCATTTTCTGATACAAAAAAGCAAAAGAGGGAGAGAGACTCTTAACTGAATGTGACCTTTAATTGATCTCCTAGCTCTTGAAATAGTTGGGATTTTAATTCTCAAAAGTTGGTGCCAGATGCAAAAACAGATTAAATCTATAAATTTTTTCAAGTCTTTTTGGTAGATGCTTAAAACTACAGGAGATTTCAGCATTAGGGGTCAGTTAAGCACTGCAATAAATGAGTTTGTTTTGGGGGGTGGGGGGCTGGGAAAATAATGACAGAATATTTAACATCAATAAAAGCAGGTGGGGAGTGATAGAATTCCTTCCAACTCTGAAACAGTGAGGAAGAAAGAGGTGAGAAGAGCTGGGTTTTAGGGAGGGTTTCCCACAGTCCTTAACCTGAAGTGAGGACCTGAGGTATTTTGATGCTATGACTTTAAGCGAACTGATTCTTTCTCTTTTTTTCCTGCCTTTTCTTCTTCTCTTAGACAGATTATCATCTCATTAGAGTAAAAGCTTCTAAAGAAAAGAATAATGCTTTCCTCTTATTCTCCACTGATTTTATAGATAAACTGCTTAACAATTTTGTTCATAACATTTGTAATTCTTTGCATTCGCAGAAGGAAAAAATATGTTCTGATCTCAATGTGTCTAACGAATTTCCTTAGTGTCATGAATATTTAACTAATTGAATACCTTAAAAATTCTCTAAGCAAAAATTGGTACAAATTCTGTTGAAAATATCAATTAAAAATAATCTACAAATAATAGAGACAATTACCACAGATGGTTTTTAATAAAAAATTTTAAAATGCTTTGTGTAAACTGCTACTAATAGGACATGTCACATGATACGTTTTTAAAATGGTATAACTGTAAATATTATAAAATCACAGTCTACTATTTTAGAAAATCACAGTCTACTTACTACTTGTATGTCTCCGAGCGGATATATTCAAAAACATGGGACACTCCAAGTTGGAACTGGTCAGCAATTGGGGTAACCCAGGGATTGTTCTCTGCTTTGAATACCTGCTTCTGACCAGTTAAATCCAAGTTTCCTGAAAATATGAAGGAGGAAAGAAAAGCTGGAGGTCATTTCATCCAACACAGATCAGGACTAATAAGTCCTGCTTAGTAACCACAGCACAATGTTAAGTACCTTTTGGGTCATTTGATTTAAAAAAAAAAAAAAATTCTTACCTCAAGTCATCACTGGTACACAAGCCATGTTGGTGACAGCACCCTTACCCAAGAAATTAAGAACAAAGGAAGGAAGACAGGATGGAGAGGAAGTGGAGAGAAGAAGGAAGGAAGGAAGCGAACCTAAAAGGAATTCTTGCCAACGTAGCATATGCCTTATTTTTCTAGGTATTTGCTATTGAGACTAAAATGACTCGTTCAAAGATTGAGAGAAGTGATAATATTGAAACCCCCTAAAATTCTATCTTGAAAATGTCAATGAACATCACTCCTTGTCCTATCTGATCTGAGCCCAATCTGACAAACAACCATTTTTCCATCAAAGTAGAATATTAATGAAAAAGGACAAGATATATACATATACATATATATTTTTTTTTTGGACCAGTAAGGGGATCGCAACCCTTGGCTCGGTGTCATCCGTACCATGCTCAACCAGTGAGCGTACTGGCCATCCCTATATAGGATCCAAACCCACGGCCTCGGCACTATCAGCACCTCACTCTCCCGAGTGAGCCATGGCACCGGCCCAAAAAGGACAAGAATATTACCCAAGTAAAATTATTACTGCATTACTCAAGTAGCATGAGCACATCTCAGAATCAGCACTAAATGAATCTCATTAACATGGTAATACTAGAGACTAACATTTGTATAGCTCTAATCAGTTTACAAATTGCCTTTTAAAATCATTTCCTTATTTAATTCTCCAGCAGTCCCTAAGGTGAGATATTACCATCATTTTGTAGGTGAAGAAATGGAAACTTGGGGAAACTAGTATGTCTAAGATCAGAAAATGTCAGCACAGGGATTTGAACCTGACTCCAATCTCATGACTCTTTCTACAAGTGTCTGGTGAAGCTATCAGGTTACATGTCAATAATGATGTGTTTAACAAAAGTAGCACTAAAAAGCCAGCCAGTATCACCTCATCTGAAGATCATCTGTTGATGATCAGGTGACTTTATTTATTAATATATTCAAAAACAGGAATGGCAATGTGTGAAAGAACTACCTATAATGTGCTCACCTATGAAAGACAGAGACAGACACTGAGAAGTCAAGCAGCAGAGATATATGTGGCTTCTCTTGGCAGCAGACTCATTGCAGGACTTTCCCTGAAAGTCCTACTGAGGAAGTCCATTTCAGACTTTTGGTCCACTGCCCAACACTGGATGAACACAGACACCCAGCAATTATTCTTTCCAAGATACAAAGTAACGTGTTTGTCCTGTTCTAAGGCTCTACCACCAATTTTTTCATAACATAACTCAGCATAATGAAAACATATTTCGGATGCATTTACCATGAAGCAAATCACTTCCTAGCTGACCTGAGCTTCAGAAATGAAAGGATAAATGAACATTTTTACCAGGAAGATGATGTGTAGTATTTCTTAAAACAAAAGAATAGATCCTTTGAATCTTTCCTCTTTTTGTTATGTGGACTTGTAACTATTCAGAAAAATGGAGAAAGAAAAGAAAAAGAAGATTTCACAAAATGTTTTTAATGAAACTAGATAATACTAAATATTAAGAAAGTAATTCATCATATTTCTGAAGTTACTAAGAATTTGTTGGTGATGAGTAGAAAGAAAAGCAGATACATTTCTCTCCAACATTATCAATACTGTCAATTTCCTTATCTTAATGGTTAAAATCATTAGTCAGATATTAAGTTACATGGGAAAATAATGAGCTTGTTTTTCTAAACCTTCTCTAGAAAGCTTCCTAGGGCAAATGAAAACCCAAGGGTTGCACATATTCTGCTTAACTGAATATCTTACCCGAGTTTCACCTTGTTGGCTAGGCGGCTGTCATTGATTCTTTCTGGTTTTACTTTTACTTGGGGAGGGGGTTTTTAGCTTCCCAAGAATGAAACTGACCTCCTCTTTACATTTCTCTATAATCATTATGTCTTAGGATCTAGTTTGATATATTCTGTGTCCTCTCTTCCATATCATTCCCTCATTACTTACTTTTCTTCAATTTTCCTCTTTTCCTAAAAAACGAATATAGTATAAATTTCTGGAACGACATCATCCATTGAAAAACAAGTTTGCATTTCTGATGTGTCATATTTGACATGCACAAATATATGTTGCCCACCCAGTGGCATGGCCACTGAGGGAAGGGGCCACGTACCAAGCAACAGTAACCGTGCTGCAGTAATTCACTAATAAACTGGAGATAGAGGTGCTGGAGGTGAATAAACCTCTCAAAACATTCATCTAAGAAATAGCCTGTGCTTCCATATTGTCATTTTCTTGCCCCTAAGCCCTGCCCACTGACATCAGCACGTAATCAACTATGAAAAAAAATAACTGAGACCTTTTGAAAAATGTATGTATTACAAAGTGGATGAGATGCCATGAAAAGTATAAACTGCAGATTCATAGAATTAGGAAGTGAACTAATTCCTAAGCTAAGGGGATCTCCCTGTTAGTAGCTATTCTGCCCTAAATACATGCATCTTTCCTCCTGGTTTCCCCAAATTGGTTATCCTGCCAAGAAATATAGTCTAAATTTCTAATGGGCAGAATTCTATTCTGTTGAACAAACATCTAGTACATTCTATCATTCACACGTTGCCATGAATTAACTCAATTGGTTTGCTTTCCTCTTACCATCTGGTTCAGATGAGGATCTCAGAAATACTAGCTACATTTGGACTACAGAACGTTTCTCACCACACTGTATTTTAGAGACCTGGGTCAGTGTTAGAGCAGTGTGGGACAGGGGAAGGGTCTGGTAAGAATCTAACAGATAAGCCTCAGTTATTCCAAATGTGCCCAGGGATGACTTACACAGTCCCAATAATCCAAAAGTACAGGTATCTTATGAGCAAAACAGCTTTTAATGGACCGTCCTTGAACTTAAGGTGCAGGTGCATATTTCTGTGGTAAAGAAGAGCCTGCATTTTGCTACCAATAACCTACAAACCCACTTTGGAAAGTACACAGTCTCTTGTTAACTTACAAACAGCTTCCTACTAAGCTTGCAGTCTCTGCAGTGGTAATCCTCTGAAAATAACATACCAAAGTTCTATGCTCCCTGACTGCCACACATGGAAGACAGACCTAGGGGAATAATGCCAAAAAAAGTCAGCCATGTTCTTTGGGCCCTTCTGTCTGAAGCCTCTAACCCTCTGGAGATCTGTCAAGCCCAAGCAATGTCTCTATTTAGGTGCTGTCAGTAGAGACACAAGAGGCGTTGGGGATTGCTAATGACATCTGCTAACTGGAGCACATAGGAGATGCTGGATTCGGTGAGCTAGACACACTCCCTTCGGGGAAAAGGAGTCTTACACTGATGTCTCGAAGACAGGGTAAACAGAAAGGACCACAGGCTATTCATGAGCATCTTCATTTACATCACTTGGAACCCATCTGCACATTACAGCTGGGGAATGGGGGAGCCTGGGTGACTCTCCCCCACCCTCATTTATTTATGTTAGTATCAAACAATGTTACCGAGTCCAATTCACAGGCGCCTCATAGAGCTACATGAACTGGGGGTCCTGATAGGAAAGAATGATTCAGGTTCACTAGGAAAAACACAAACAAAAGAAAACAACAGCTTCCTGTTTGATGCTGTTTTTTCTTTTTAACAAAGAACCATGCAAATGATGTTTAATGTCCGTGGCGAACCTCAAAGGAGGAAACGACTACAGATGACTGAGATGGAAACCACAGGAGCCAAACTTGGCAACGCCTCTTTGGAGTTATCGCTGGGGCTTGGCGTAACAGGATGCCTTTATTTTGTTTTTCAACTTAATGTTGCTGGTGGATAACACAATACCTGTTTCTGGAGAGCTGTAATCCTCCCAGCAAATTATTTGTCTCTGGGTCCTCTTGCCTCACTCTGCACCAGGCAAGAGTACAGCCATTTCAGAAGAGGGTTAATATGATTAGAGTAAAGCTGGGCATTACACTGTGTGCAAAGATGACACCCGTCTCCTATTGGCCTAGCAACAAGTTACCCTTGCCTCAGCAAAGCTCGTCTGTCAGCTGTTGGATGTAGGTTCCCTTTTAAGAAATAACATTCAGGAAGCATCTCACCCTCCTTGTCAATCGCCCTAATGCAGCACGCTTCAGTGCGTCCAGTTAGAAGCCCTCACCCAGCCCCTTTGTTAGAAGGCTGAGCGGCACTCTGGTGGTGTTCTAACAAGGATCAGGCAGCAGGATTAAGCACTGTGACAAAGAGGATCTAATAAGCTCGAAAGTGGTGCATCTACAGACACGCTGGCTGGCTCCCAGACAAGATTCACATTGCTCACTCCTCAGTTGGAAGGCGCAGGCCACTGGGGAAGCCAGGCAGCACTGTGATTAGCGGTGACCCTCTGACCAATGCTGCTATCAAGATCATATATCACTCAGAGGCTTATTCTGCAATTGCAAATTGGATTTTCTATTTTATTACCTGCAAAAGGCCCACATATGCTTCTTCCCAAAGCCTCTAGTATGGCAAGCTTTGCTGTGCAACTGTAATTGTGTAAACACTAAATCATGCAAAACAATCATTCTCCTTGCTGGTTATAAATGTGATTGAATGCAGGAGGCCCCATTAATAAGCACGCTCATTTTCACTTATGGAAATTGGTTGTTTCCATAATTTCACTGTAAGAATTCTTCCCCAGTACTCAAAATCCTGAAACATGTGGCCAGGAGAATCATTTATCACATAGTAAGCAATAGAGGGGATTGGGCAAATTTTTCACGTTATCAAAACAGCATTACCTCCCTTCCTAATTTCAAAATTAACACCACAGAGAGCTTTTTAAATTAATGCACTCTAAAAGCCAGGCTCTCTCACTCACTCGTAAAAATCTAAGACCATAGTCTAACAAGGTAAAGCTA